AGGACCCTGGGATCACGACCTGAGCTGAAGGCAGACGCTTAACCAACTGAGCCACCCAGGCATCCTGGAAGAGTACTTCTTCTTCTTCTTCTTCTTCTTTTTTTTTTTAAGATTTTATTTATTTATTTGACAGAGAGAGACAGCGAGAGAGGGAACACAAGCAGGGGGAGAGAGGGAGAAGCAGGCTTCCCGATGAGCAGGGAGCCCAATGGGGGCTCGATCCCAGGACTCTGGGATCATGACCTGAGCCGAAGGCAGACGCTTAATGACTGAGCCACCCAGGCACCCCCCGGAAGAGTACTTCTTAACTGGAGCTCATATTATAATTCTCTGAAGGGCTTATTTTAATAGAGTGCTGGTCTCTACCCCCAGAATGTCAAATTCATATCCAGAAGGTTGCCTGAGAATTTGCATTTCTATACTGTTTCAAGATGCTGCTGATGCTGCTGGTTTGGGGTCCACATTTCGAGAATCACTGGTTGTCTGATACTACAAAATAATAGAACTCTGGGGCGCTTGGATGGCTCATTTGGTTAGGCGTCTGCCTCCAGCTCAGGTCATGATCCTAGGGTCCTGGGATTGAGTCCTACATCGAGTCCCACATTGGACTCCCTGCTCAGCGGGGAGCCTGCTTCTCCCTCTCCTCCTGCTCCCCCTGCTGGTGCGCACTCTCTCTGTCAAATGAATAAATAAAATCTTTAAAAAAAAATAATAGAACTCTGCCCCTGGAGTATTGTCTTACTTGCCACAAGGGAACTCTTTGATTCAAGGTATGACAAGAGTCCCTAGAAGGACAGGAAGCTGGGACTTTGCCAAGTTTATAGCTTATGATTAAGATGTGTTGAGCCTGCTTGGTAATAAATGGTTGTTTAATAGGTAACCTATGGTTACCTATTAAATAATAGGTATGTTGGAGATAGGTAGGATAATATACCTATTCTATAGGTAGGATAATATACCTATCCTATAGGTAGGATAAAATAACATACCTATAATAGGATAGGTATGTTGGAGAGGAAAAAAAAAAATCCACAGTTAACATTATACTTAATGGCGAAAGACTGAATGCTTTTTTCCTAAAACCAGGAACAGATATCTATTCTCACTATTGCTATTTCACATTGTACTAAAGATTCTAGTGAGTGCATCAAGGCAAGAAAAAACAACAACAAGGCAACCAGATTGGTAAGGAAGAAGTAAAAGTGTCTTTATTTGAAGACAATATGATTATCTGGTAGAAAACCCAGTGGAATCTATAAAAAAGCTAATAAAATTAATGTTTAGCAAGGTTACAAGATATAAGACCAATGTACAAAAAGCAACTGTATTTCTATACATTAGCAATGAACTGTAAATTGAAATAAAAAATAATACATACAATATCAAGAAATATAAAATACTGGAGCACCAGGCTGGCTCAGTCAGTAGAGCATGTGACTCTTGACCTCAGGGTTGTGAGTTCAAGCCCCACATTGGGCATGGAGACTAACTTATATAAAAAGAGAAATATGAAATACTTAGGGATAAATCTGACAAAAGATATGCTAGACATATATATCGAAGACCACAAAAACTGCTGAGAGAAATTAAAGAAGGCATATATAAATGACCCTTGTTCATGAGTCAGAAGGCTAAATATTATTAACATGTTGATTCTTCCCAAATTGACCTGTAGATTTGATCCAAATCCAGTAGGCTCTTTTGTTGTAGAAATTGACAAATAGTTCCTAAAATTCACATGGAAATATAAAATACCCAAAACAACTTTGCAAAAGAATAACAAAGTTGAAGGGCTAACACTACCTGATCTCAAGAATTATTATAAAGCTACA